AAAAAAAACATTTCTTCTGCCAAAAATAATGACTAACCACGAGAAAATTATTTATACGGCGAATGCCGGGCTTACCGGTGACATGAAAATGCAGGAAAAAATTATTTTATAAACAATCCCATGTAATTCACGGGTCGAAGTGGCACCTTGTGACGAATCATGATGAAATGTCCTATTGTAATCCTATTGTAAAAAGGAGAAACATGAAGACTATCGATATCTCGAAACTCTGTCACACTCACCCCTCATTGGTTGAGTCGCCTGAGGCGGGTAATTTGAATTGAGAGCTCGTTCAATTCCGAAAATTTCAATAAAAATTTTTCTAATTACAGCAGTCTGCAGCGCGCGTTAGTTCTCATTAAATATATATAACTCTCGCTAACGCTGAAGTGACAGTTCCGGGTGGACATACATTTCGGACGAGTGGGTGAAACACCCGCTAATGAGACTCCATCCTTATGCTAATCGCTCGCGTGTTTGTAGTCACCAGGAGAGACCAGAGTCCCGCTTAGTCTCATGAATGTTATCGTTGCTCTTCATCAAAACGTTCGGTGGTTGCGCGAGCGCCATGTAGACGGCAAAGGTGCGATTGAGCCGTCGTACCCTCCCGTTTTTCCACACTCAAATATACGTACGCTACATTCATCTCATCATTTTATTTTCCAACATTTTATTTCAGCCATAAAGAAATCGTAAATGATTCCTTCATACCGCAAAATGTCTTTCTCTTTAGCGTTGTGGTCAACTGTGAACATTTGCAAGATTGAGAACATTCCTGCGCATTAAAATATAAAATGGTGGCATGTCAGGTGTGTATGTCATCGAGTAACTGTTGTCCAGCAGGTAATCCTCAATTTTTCACCTTCAATTGTCTCCAATACCAATGCAATGCGGTATCAGATCCACACTATCTCGAAAATTCAATGAATTTTACCTTGAGCTCCAGTGTCAACGCTGATTATGCCGATTGATAGAACTGTTTTAATATCTTTTGTGCAAGCGACATGTGTACTCTTACATCCACAGATTTTTACTCTGGGATTTGGAAACTAAAGATTAGTCTATCGGCAGTCATAAAATCTTGAGACGAATCAAACAACCAATCGACGTGCAAAAAATCAAATCCTCACCGGTCATTTGTACTATGACATTCAATGAACGGTAAACTTCCGCAATAATTTCCGTTGAATCTCTGAATTCGTATGGTGGAGTGATAAAAGATGTAGTTAACATTAACGAGGAGTAACTCTTACTAAATGGTGTTGATCGATTAGAATAATGGAGTGCTCATTGACATCCACTGATAAAATAATTCGGCTGGGGTTACACAAGGTGAAGTGATAGTTCCAAGATATTCCAACTATCAGGGCATTCTGGTGAAGTTTATCCCAGGTTTTTTTTTCCTCAGGGTAGACCGAGACATTTGACCCAATATCCTAAAATTTCGGGGACGTTCTGCTAGAATTAGTCAAAAGTCTAATATAATGGCTTCGTAAGCTGTCGAAAGATAGGCTGTCTGAAGATGACAACATTGTCAACACGGATCATCTTGACAAGTCTGCTGTTCAATATTTTGTGATGACGTGTTCAATGATGCAGACAGTCATCTCGCTAAAGGATGAGTTCGGGATAGGAACCAAAAGATATAATGCCTCTCGGCACCAGACACAAAGACTACTCTCGTGACCTTGGATGAGTCCCCTCTCCATTCCTGCTGTGTCGGGTTTTAACAGAATGAAAAAAGAAACGCATCCGCCCGAGAATAGTCACGCCCCGTCGCGAAATTAATCGATTAAGTCGTCTTTGCTATCGTCCAATATATTTTTTCCCTGCAACTTCAACTCATGTGCCTCATACCTTTGACTTATTTTTATTACCACCAGAGGTCATGGGCTTTCTGCAAACGAACATTTACGAGTGAGAGATTAAGGGGTACACCTAGATCGAAACCTAGAGTGGAAAAATTTTATGAAAATTTAAAAACGATTGAAACCACAAGCTCATATTTTTTTTCTTATCAATTAGACGATGTGAATTGATGCAGTGGATATTCTTGGCGTTAAAAAATGTTTAAACATTTCGATATGTTGTTTATAGAATTTTTACGGATCGATTGGTATTTTTTCATTGACAGGCGAATTAATTAAGGCGTGCAATGCTTTCATCAGCCAGATTGATTGGACTATCAGCAATTACTCTTTGTCTGTAAGATTGATTTGAGGTTATGGATGAGAATTGGTAAAGTCAGGAGGGATTGTAGTGTCCTTGTCAAGGATATGAATTAGCCTTCTATGGTTGAGGTATAAAATACATCTCACAGTACATTTTCTTCACACATAAACATGTTAACAGCCGATTCATTGTCTTGGAATCTCCCTTCAGCCAATTAAAACTTTCTGGTGGTATTGTGGATTACCATAATTAGAAATACATGGATAATTATTCACGATAGCGCAATTGATTATTAAATCAATGAATTCCTTTTTGAATTGATCGACTAATGAATTTCTGTTGCACACGAAATCTTTACTAACACGTGATAAATCTAGGGATAATTGGTCCAATGGACATAACCTCAATGTATTGTCCTCAATTCTTTTTCACACGAGTATTCATTCTTGTTTTTTTTTTAACTCATTGTGCCTGATGTTTCATTATTCTCGGTGCCACTGAACACCTGTTGCATCGTACAGGTGCATTTGTTTGTAGGCAAATCATTTTGCCGAGGTATTACGTAGCGTTGGTGGTGATTAATCAATATTAAAATGGAAAACATGTTGAAAGATGATCATATCTTGTACATCGATTTATAGCTCGCTCGTGTCTTGTGAAATTTTTAATTTATATTTTATGAGACCCGGAATTGAGTGATTCGTTCATCGGTTATTCATTCAAGAACAATGAGAAGGTCGTCGGAGGATCTTCGCTGTGTCACCTTTCGAGGGAGATGACCTCATCCCAAAATCATTGAATAATCTCTCATTTTTGGCAGATTATAATCATTCAATCAATCTTCATGACATCACTAAAAACGAAACGTTTTCTCCAATTCTCAGGAAGAAGATGTCGTCTAGACTCTAGACACCCAAACGGTTGAAATTTGAAGGAAAAGAAATCCAAAGATGAAGATGAAGATGGAGATGAAGATGAAGACGAAGATCGTACCTGAGACTAAAAGAAAAACGCGACGATATTTTACACATATTTAATATAATTATTTAATACTAAATTGACCCGTATTATAGATATTAAAAAAAATTCCATGGAAGGTTCTTTTTGTTGAAAAGGATGACCAGTTGTTACGTCATCGAAAAATTTAATCACAACTGGCACCATATTCCATTGATTCTTATTGCCTGCTAGAAAAAAAATCATTCAACTAAATGAATGGTCATTTAATAATAGTAAGGAAATGAGGAAATTTATGTGTGACGATAAACACGAGGGAAAAAAAAAACCAGAAATACATCTGTTTAGCGAGTCCTGATATTTCATTGGTTGTGAAATTACGGTCATAGCCATCTTATGCGTTACACGAGAGGTCACGGGGGTCGAGGTGAGAAACAAAAAGGTGACGTCATAGTATTCACTTGAAGATGGTACAATCAATCGTGTTGATGTTGAAGTGAGTATTCCCTTTGCCGAGCATCTGTAAATCAACGAATCATCGATATTTGGTCATGGCGTCTTCGATCGGACATTCCACACGCCAAAGTTGGTGAGCGTGAAGGACGATGAAGGCCACCACATTGTTTTATTCTCCTAGGTTGTTGGTGGTTTTATTTTTCTGTTGAGAACTTCATGACAGAAACACCTGGAGATACAACCGATGAAAAACGATGAAATGTGATTGCTTTATTACTCATGATTCACACTGGACAAGTGAAATTTCACAATTCGAGAAGCCTTGTGGATTGGAAGACTGAAAATATATTCATCATTTTACGCATTGTTTTTATTACTACACAGCGTATTCTATCATTATATATTTCCAATTATAATTACTCTGTTACTTAACAGAGAACCTAGATTCTCCAAATGACATGAGATTATCTTAATTTAATTTCTAAATTTGAGTGAATCTGAGTGGGTGGAAGATTTACATATCAAGGCGAATCAAAAAATATTTGAATCTTCGATTTCATTTGGACGAAATGGCCATTTCTCCACGCAAAAATATTAATTTGCTATCCACAAATGTCGGGAGTTCCTCTCCAGTAGTAAATATACATAGCATTTTTTTTCCCCAGTGCATCCATATAAATTTCATGCATACGATCTTCTCTCTCTCAATCCCTTCATCGATAATCAAAACGGTAGTGATTGTAATGTGCGATAGCAGTGAAATGGTTGTGAATTTACCATACTTAAGGGCCCAGTCATACCCCGATTACGTATAAGGAATAACTGGTCGCCCACGCTGGGTTGCACCCAGGGTAATGTACCTTCAATCTCATCCCAACATTTCGAGAGATCTCCAACATCTCGTAATGATGATTTTCCCCTTTCTCTCTCTCATACTAAATAATACTGCAGCAGACCTTGTCTTTTAATCAGGAAAATGTTTAGAATGCCGAGATTTCTCGGTATCGGTGAAGATGAATAAAGGGAAATCGTGAATTGATCCGCTTCAGGATTGAGAAGACGGATTGCATGATAATTATTACCATTTTGATGATGTCCTTGAAACAAGACGTGAATCTAATTAAACGTTCATTAATCATGTTGGAGGCTTTTTCTCATAACTTCGTTTGCTTATTGGTAATTTCGGTATTGTCAAATCATGTTGAGAAATCGACTTATGTAACACATGATAACAAACCGTGTTGACTCATATTCATTAAAAATGATGATAGCTATAAATACGCATATTAAGAAAATAATATTGAACGTTGAACCGAGATTAGCATAATTGCATGCAATTTCGTTTATCACACAAAAAAAAATAGTCGGCAGGTCGTGGATGAGACCGCGGCTTCATAATGATAAAAGTGTAATGATAAATAGGACGTATCGGGAAACAAGTCGCATTTTGTTTTCAAGTGTTGCACTGACTATTCGGTGAAGATGAGAGGATTGCCAGCAATTGTACTGTTGACTCTCGTCACAATTATCTTTGCTGAAGAGGATGTGAATCCGATAGTGAAGACTCCATTGGGAAAACTGAGAGGGACCTACAAAACGTCTTTCAATGGCCGACAATTTCGCGCCTTCGAGGGAATTCCCTATGCGAAACCTCCAGTTGGAAAATTACGGTTTGAGGTGAATTCCAGTGTTACTCTATTTTAATTTCTTGGATTTGTTGTATCACTTCTGGATCCCTCACGGGGAGAGAATATTTACCCGATGATAATTTTTTGACAGCCCCCACAGCGATTTGAAAATTGGGAAGGGACTTTGCTAGCTGTACGACGTGAGTCCCCATGTCTTCAATATTCCCATGTACCGATGAATCCACCGGAGAGAGTCGAGGGTGCAGAGGATTGCCTGTACCTCAATGTCTACAGTCCGACTAAAAGTGATTCAACGGAACTTCTTCCGGTGATTTTTTATATTCACGGTGGGGCCTTTCAATTTGGTGAAGGCTCCAGTAATCGTCCAGATTACCTCATGGACCGGGATTTAGTGATGATTACTACTAACTACCGTTTAGGACCCCTCGGTATGAGGCTTACGTTATCTTAATGATCATCCATTCATTCCTTTAGAATTCATCTATCCATAGGCCTCGTGGGCTCTCATCGCTGGTGGATTATCTTTCGTGGGTAATACGGGAAAATCATTTCTGTTAACACACTAGTTCTGGTAATGGAAACGTAATGGGCGGTAGAATAATCAATTACAAGACCAGTGATCGCTAATCACTTCTGATATTTAGCATCATTGGAATATCAATACAATCTGTAAACATCATTATAACATTTTAATTACTGGAAATGGAGGCAATCACGATAGCATGATGTCAATATTTCAATGATTATTTCTAATTTCTCCAAATTCAGTCGAAACCCGTAATTTAATAATCAGGTGATATTAAAATCGGAGGTTTGCGATCAGGAATTACACTGAATTTTTTATGGACTTGAATATTATTAGGTTTCCTTAGTACTGGGGATCGAGTCGTACCGGGGAATATGGGTCTGAAGGATCAAAGTATGGCATTGCGATGGGTATCTGAGAATATAAAATACTTCGGTGGTAATCCAGAGAAGATTACACTTGCTGGTTTAAGTGCGGGAGGTGTAAGCGTTCATTATCACTATCTCAGTCCTCTGAGTCGAGGGCTCTTTCATGGTACGTAATATCAACCTGTATGAATTAACTGTATTTCAAATAGTGACTTTTATCTTTCTTTCTGACTTAAGCGGGAATGTCATTCAGCGGAACGACTCTCGATTGTTGGTCACAAACCGAGAAGTCTGTGGAGAAGGCAAAGAAGCTGGCGGACATTCTGGGATGTCCCACTGGAAACAATGAAAAAATGGTCAATTGTTTGAAAAACAGACCGGCCAAAAGCATCGTTCAGTTAGTCGGCAATTTTATGGTATGTTTTTATTGACACGGGATTGTCCGCGCATGCTCCATACGCGCATTCATTCGAAATGTTTGGGATTTGGCCGCGACGTCGGGATGGCGGATTATCCGAGATATTTCGATATATTTCAAAATATTTCAAAAGTCTCCTTCTCGAACAAAATTCCATCAGTCCAAAGGAAAATTATGACCCCAGAAATGAGATTTTTCAATTTCCGCGAATACCTCCGCGATTCACATGCTCTCCTGATACTTTTTCGAAAATTTCGAATTTTTCAATTTCAGTGAATACCTCCTCGATCCTCATGCTCCCCTGATACTTTTTCGAAAATTTCGAATTTTTGAATTTCAGTGAATGCCTCCTCGATCCTCATGCTCCCCTGATA